GTTGAAGTGCCTCCCTCCTAATTGGACACTTTCTAGGAGGCAAATACAGGGACACAAAATAGAAGTTACTCCCTCCAGTATGTTTACAACAGCTATTAAAGGAGTATTTCACAGACAGGCACAGGTATGCCAGCTGCCATCCTACTGCAACAGTGGAAGAATTGGGGCCACAATGAACTATCTTCACCACTGCATCATGATCTAAGCAAAACCAAGCAGTTTTATAATACTATTCAAGGCATTTCAACAGCTTTTAATGACACACTTTTCACCTTTTAACACTAACAACACTATTGCTGTGGAAAACAATGGTAAATATTTGATACTTACAGTGGGCCTAAAGCTACATAAACTAAGGAAGCAAACTGTGACGTTATGACGGTGCTCAGGAACACTGGGGAATTCAACCAACCCACTGAGTTTAGGCAACATACGCACCAATAGCTTTATAAACTAGAGGCCATCCTTAATAAATTTTTCCCCCTAACACAGCTACTCCAAACTCTCAAGACTCAAGAAAAGGCTTATTTTAAGATTTCACCAAGTTCTTCTAGCTTCCTAAAAAGAAAAGGTGAATATCCTTTGGTCAAGAGCAATTGCATATGCAAGACAGCAACAACAAACTAGAAGCATGGCTCAGCAAAGCCAGAATACACATTAATTCTATTAATGAAGATAATTGGTCTTTTGTATACATGTGGATTAATTATTATCAGAAAACATTGATCATTATTTGTCCACTTGTACAGACAATAGGAAATTTTCTGCTACTTCTGCATACTGGTTTTGAGAAAAAGAAGTTGCAGTTGTGCAAGCAGTAGGGCAATACTTCCATCTGATCATACTTAACTAAGAGAACTAAGAAAAAAATGCATATTGATCAACTTGTATCTGGCTTGGATCCATGCTAACTAGTAGGCACTGTAGATCCATATACCTCAAAGACACACTGTGTTTATTTGTAAACGTAGGAAAACGATACCTTTAGCACAATCTGCTCCGTGAAATCCAGGAAAACAGTGGCAGACACCAGAAACACACTCGCCATTGCCATGACAATTACGTGGACAGTCTTGCACTGAATCTGAAATACAAACATCACAGACACATTAAATGGTTCCTATTTCACCTGGAAATTATTTGCTTAGTTTTTTTTTTTAAACATTATTTTGTCTTAAATACTTGGGAGAGTACTAAGTGGACAACCAGAGAACACTAATAACGCTAACAGCACGAATTTCAGGGGAAGCAGAAAGTTACCAACACTTATGGCAGCATGAGAAAGTGTAGGAACCAGTGATAGCCTAAAGGTAGCAAGTCTTTGAGCATCACCAGCACTCAAATTCACTGCTAGCACTCAAGTCCTCTGCTCAAACAGGTAGCCAAAACTTCTTTTATGATCATTATAGTCATACTCGAATTCATATTGTATTTCAAACATAATACTTCAGCAGGAAAATTGACAATCTCCCTTTTACAATTTGACTTTGATCTTGCACAGCCACTGTTCCATGTGGAACTGATTTTTCCAAGGAGTCTGTCTTTTCTTTCTACAGATACTCAAAGCTTTGTTAAGAAAGCTGACAGAAATGTCTGCTGCACCTGACAAAGGACAGCTCTTTTGCTCCAGCAAACATTACCCTAAAAAAAAGCCCAAAAAAAGTCCAAGTAGCAATGCAAGCACATGACAAAGAGGTCTGTAAAGCCAGAGGGCAAGGTTTAACTCCAGGCTTAAATAACTGAAATGCTGGTGACTTCAATAATCTGTGAAGCATAAGCACATCGGCCTGATGATAAAATTTCAGCTGTACCAGCCTGTATGTTTTCCACAGTTTGTTATTATTTTGGATGACATATACATTTGCTTTGCACAATATAAAGCAGAAATTAAATAACAATTTTGAAATTAATGCTTAAATTATTTTCAATTGAAAGCTGTTGGATTTCATAGGAATATATTGTCAACACTGAATTACTGGAACAAAAATATAAATGGAATGTTGTTACTCTTCCCTATAATTCCCTGTTGTTGTGGGTTGCACTGTCCCAAATTAAATGTCAGTCCCAGACACCAAACAAAGAGCAGCTGCAGGACACAGAAAACAAATCTTGGATTTGGAACTATTAGTACCATACAGAGTGCTTTTCTGTCCAGCCAAACTGAAAAGAGGAACAGGAGTCAAGCAAAACTGTAAATCTAATATCACAGTTGCAGGACACTTAGTAAATAATAGTAATAATAATAACAAAATAAGTATAATAAAAAGAAGCAAAATTTCAAAAAGATGTCTTTATTTTGGCCTCTTTAAATAAATCTTATAAACAGTGAAAAGGAGAACTGTAACGTGTAATGGTCAAAAACATCAATGTGTCTCATGAAGTAGTTTGTCTATAGATTTACTCGTTGTGCTTCACGGCACACAATTCTATGTATTCAGAATCATGGCAAACTTACTACTGCCTGAGAGCCAACATCATTTCTGTTATTTTTTCTCCTCTCACATCAGAGAAGCCTTCATCTCTCTCTGATCTTTTGATTATGAAACATCTGATACTGGGTGTGTGTAGAATAACCTGTGAACTGGATAAAACACTATATTTTTCTCTGTATTTCAGTCCAATCACTATTATTGCACTATCATATGGTCTACCTGTCCATTAGACCTTTGATACTCTTGAAAGCTGTAGTCCAGGCTAGCCAGCCCTTTTAAGGACAGCTGATCATAGCTGAAGAGTTTCTAAGAAGCCACAGTAGCAGCATACCAAGATATAAGCACAATTGTTTTCGAAGAAGCAGAAAATGCCTTCTATGGCAGATACACAAATACATAAAACATTATGCGCAGCACCTAGTAACCCTTTCAAAACCACACATGAACTACAGAATCCAAAATGTTTTCTCATCCCAACTGAAGTTCACATGATCAGTTAGGTTCCTACTTAATACCACAGTATTGGTTATCCTCCCCCACCCTCTGGGACTTCAGCTAAGAAACTAAATTTTATAATAATGTAAAAGGAAGAAAAAGCTTCATATCATCAATCACACACGGCTGGAAAAGACCTCCAATTTATTTTTCATCAGACTCACTCAGTTCAACTTCTTTCAATTTCTCTTTCTCAAAACTAATACATTTGTGCAATATAGAGTCACTTAACACTTCACCAGCCAGGATGGAATAGCATGTAGACTATCTCAGTTTTTGATGCTACTGTGATAAGACTTTCACAGCTCATGAAATGCTCCAGAGATCAACACACCTTCTGACAAAGCTTGGAGAGCTTATGTTCAGTTTGGCTTTCAATTAAAGCCAAAATTATTCTTGTAACAAAACCGAAAGCATCTCAGATGATAGGTTGGATGCTCTTCTGCTATTTATTCCATCACGTTGAGAGGAACACCAGCTAGATGCTCACCACTAGGTGAGCAGCTAGCTGTAATACGGCATATACCTAATTAATGAGCTTAGTTCACCTCTGAGGTGACTGCAAACAACCTCATTCTCAGTTGTCAGCATTCTGTACCATCTTTCTGCAAAGATTAAACAGCTCTCTTGTTGAATGCAGTGTCCTGTTGGTTTACAAAGAAAGGTCTTTGGAGAAGCAAATAGGTATAAAAAATGACTGTGAAAAGGGAGAGGAACATCAGCTGGAGAATGAAGTTTTGTTTCTCAGAACTAACCTCAAGAACTACAGGAATGCAAAAATCTTAAAAGAAAAATAATGAAAAAAATCAATACCCCACTGGACCCATTTGAGATTAGCGTTAAGAAAAAATGCACAACAACACAAGGACAAAAAAAGGCTGATTACTAAAGACTGAATGAGAGTATCATGACTTTAAGTATGGGAATGTATCAATAAAGAGAAGAAATGCTCAGTTTCCGGAAATACCTACCCAAAATAACTGTACTGAAGGAGACTACTTCTTTGTCCTTGCCATCATTGTAAAACGCCAGGTGCCACAAACCCACATCCAAGTACTGAACAAACACAGCTTCATTCTGAACAAGAGTCTGAATGCTTCGCCGTTCCCGTGGGGATTCCACCACACTCCATTTCTCTTTCCCATCCAAGCGTTCCATGAAATCATACTGCAGTATAGGAAAAAGAAAACAAAAAAAGAAAACAAAAAAACAAAACCCCAAACAAACAGACCAGAATGCAGAATGATATCTCAAAATCTCACATAGTCTTGTATTAGAAACATCATAAAATGGTATTTCTGGAAGACAGGTTAATATGAAGCTAATTTCTACTGGGTTCCCCTTGAACTCACAGAATTTCGTGACTGTTTTCCTAAAAACTGACACAGAACTGTGCATCTTTTCTCTGCACAGGTGATTAAAAATGTACCAGCAGTATTTCTTGACCAGTCGAGTTTTGAGAAAGAAGTTAAAATCAATGCTTTGACTCTTCACAAAATTTTAGGTTCCTACAGAGCTTTCAAAGCTGGAAAACTTTAACATGTGAGAGAAGCACCCTTTCCTTAGCAATCACCTGCCACAATTTATTGCTGCAAGATGTACAAATATGTCAGATGCACCTTCAGACATATAATTGAATGGACAACCCCAGAATGCAAAAACAAACAGGAAAGCACAAACAAAAAATGGGTCTGTCTAACATAATGTAAGTTAGTATCCAATTAAAACACACTGTGAAAGTTTGACATCACAGAGCAGTTTGCTTACCTGAGTTTATATGCAGAACAATCGGGTAAGAGGATACAAGAACCAGAGAGAGCATGGAAAAGGAATAACACAAATCAGGTAGCTGAAGGCATTGAACTTCTATTAAGGAAAACTGAGAATTTCTGTTTGGATGCTTTGGAAAATTACATTAATCTTTGGAAGACAGATGAAGCATAGCAAGTGATTATTTAGAGTATAAGAGGGATGGCACCATTAACGGTATGAAGCTAAAAAAAGAAAGAAAGAAATTTAAGATGAATGTCAGATAAGCTTCCCATCTATTAAGCTCAGTAATAGCCTCCCAGTGGAGATGCCACTGCATCACACAATTAAACAAAGACTAGAAGAAATATTGGTTAATCTGCAATAGGGAATAACTCTGCATAGCAAAGCAGCTGTACCAGAACTCCTAATACTCTTTCTTTTTTTTTTTTTAAAAATATATATTTATTTTTTTCCTATTCTGTCTTTAAGCTTTGTGATTCTCGTGTTCTCAATCTGATGCTACGCTCAGCTTCCCAGCTCTCATGGCCCCTATCTAAGGGAAGTCCTTAGGAAACAAGAAAAAATATCTCATCTTTTCATAGCTGCATAACAAGTCCCCTATGAAAATACAACTTGTTTTAGACACATTTATCTATCTATGAGTAGATAGAGACAGACATACCTAAAGAAAGAGATATGTTCAATAAAATATAGTGAAAGTACATGCTTGCTGGCCAGTAGTTTCATTGCACTTCCTTCTGTTATCTCCAGCATGTACAGCCTGTGCTTGTGGCAGTTCTAAGAAAGCATAAACATTCACTTTGTTTTATTTTAAACAGAAAACTGTCAACCTCCATCCAAAAAAGATCCATAAGGGCTGTCTTGTACATCGAATTGTGCTCCTTAACATTGAGTTCTAGCAAATAATACACAATATGCAATAAAATAACGAAGATTATCCCTTCTTGTAGAAAAGACAGAAGGTTGGACTGATTTAATGAGTTAGTGACATACTGCACATCTATTTCAAGCAGTGATATAAAAGCTGACCTTTCTGTTTTGAAATTGTGTAGTAATAGGAGTAATAAAGCACTCAACAGACTTAGCATTACAACAAAGGCAAAAGTATGGAGGTACTAGTACTTTCTTTTTAAATACATGAAACCATGACATCAGTATGCAGCCACAAAGGAATTCCGTGACAGCACGAGTTGGAGCCTGTATCTACCGTTGTTGAAGGCTACTGCCACAGTAAGTGTATTAGTCACTCTTCCCAATGCCTTTACTCATGGCAAAAGAATAAGTGATGTGAAATAAAAAGTTTCACCAAACTGTTAAAATCTAATTGCCTCTTATTGAGCCTTTTTTCACACAGGATTTTCACCAAAGAAGATAAATCAGGTAAATTAATGCATTTAAGCCAATGCACACCAGAGGTGTAGAGAATTCTGCCGTGTCAGAAACTCTCAGAGCGTCCGAGGTGCCAAACACACATGTATCTATCTCTTAAATCAATGACATTTGGAAATATTACTAAAACCTACTGTCTAGCAGTCAGAGGTTAAGGACAGACTCATCACCTCTTTGGGAAATGTTATTACTTGGGCAACATCTTGGGAAAAAGAAATCTTGTTCCTCAGAACAATCGTTCACAAAGGGTCAGCTAGGGAAGTAGCAATAAAAGCTGACATTTCTCACTGGCAACATGCTGTTCATCTCTGCTTATGCTGGCAGGTTCCTCTGCCTCCCCTCTGTTTGATGCTGATTCTACCTCATATAGCAGAGAAGGCTCAGCAGTTGGCAAGATCGAAGGGGAATAGTACTCAGGCTGAAACTGCCTGAAGTAGTTTTAGCTGCAGAATCTCTTTTCACAATGACAGGTGTGACCTAGAGAGAGCAGGTCTCTTGGCATGGCTCCCCATAAGGCAATAATTTTAACTACACACTGTAGAGACTCTTCAATTAAACCGTGAAGAACTATTTCATGCTCAGGCAAAAGTGTAATGACTAAACATCAATAACTTTATGACTTGTGAAGCACCACCGCAAACTGATGTAGAATATAACAATAAATGTTTATCCCTCTCTGGATTCCTCAGGACTGTGAGAAAAAGAAAGAAGATAATTCATTTGCTGGTGCTTGCCTGCATGTACAATCTTAATGGAAGTACTGGATGCACCCCAAAATCTAAAATCCCTGACCAAAAGGTCACTGAGAAGGTCATAACCAGATTTGATTTCTCTCTGTGGTTGGCTGGATCATCATTTTGTTTCTCGCTGCCCTGTTGATTTTCTGATTTACTCCACTTTCATGATTAATTACCATTATATAACACTGTTCCAAAGATATCACTTTTGTTTTAAAGCTACCTACTGACAAATATGCACAGATTAGAAGACACAGCTAGGAAACAAAATAAATACTTTCATGATCGTTAAGAAGCCACTGCGTAATTTTTTAATCTAACAAGAACAACTACTGAGGAAAAGTGAATTGCATGCACTAGGAAATGGATCTAGTCAACTATCAAAATCAGCTCTGAAGCAGTTATTAATTTTCACTGGCTTTTTTTTTTTTTTTAACGATCCTTTATATTTTGCGGCTTCATTCAGAAAATCACACTAAAAACAACTAAAATCTGGCCAGAAACAAAATGCACCAGAAATCACAAATGATGACATCCTCACCGTTCAGTTTTGCAGGGGAGAGTAGTTACAAGGATTAAAGCTCCATATAAAGAAGGCTACTTCTTCAAACAAATTCCAAATTCACACTTTCCATGACTGTTCATTTATTTTACTACACAGCACACCAAAACCCTACTGCATACTTTTATTTACAAACCTAAATCTCACGCTAAGTTCTTTCTGGGCAATTTGTTTTTATGATTTCTTCCTTCAGTGCTTCTATCTTTCTCTGATGCATTTTATTAACGGGCTAATAAGGTCTTTCTTTTTCCAGTAACCACGAGGAGTCAGAAAAACAGTTTAGGAACAGAGCATGTACGATAGCAACTACAATGCACAGCGTCATCCACAATGCATCCTCTGCACAATGCCACACATCCGTTCATAAGATCTGTTGAGAACAGCTGCCTGCCAGAAGAGAACGAGTTGTGAAAGCATCAAGAAGCAAACAGCTCTCAGGCACTGGAACATCGTCTTTTCTTAGATTTGAAACCACTTGCATACAAAATCATTAACAGTCTTTGAAAATAGGAGCTGAAAAGAAAGAGCTATTAGAGCTCTTGTCTTAATAATGGATGTGTCTTCAGATGGGGAAAAAAAAAAAAAAAAAGAGAAATGAAAAAGAAGAAGAAAAAAGCATATCTGGCATTGTGGCTAGCATTCATCTTATTATGCTAAAGCCCTGTAAGAGCTACAAAGCCAATAATAAAACAAACGTCAGGGAAACTTGTTTGCAGAGTGCTTTAAAATTAGTTCTTTATCAAATCCAGGTGGTAATTATTCATTAAAATACACCCGTGAAACATCTGACCCACGCAGCTAACAGCCAAGGCGCTCATTTCAGCATTTAAACGTGCATCTTGACTGTGACAGAACACAATGGGTGCAGTGCAGCACAGCATTCACTACAACAGCACAGTCACCATCACAGAGCTCTGAAATGAACAGATCACTTTCCAGCCGCAGTAGTGGCTGGGAAGCAAGGTAATACTGAAGCTCTTCAGCTATTCCCACTGTTTCAACTAAAGACAGTTCTAAATCAAAATAGTTTTCATTAAATAGAAAACACTGCTGCAAACGGAGGCAAAACAACTCCATGCACTGCCTTCTCCAGACATGGTAGGGATGCTTCTATATGGTTACTTTATTTCATGCATCATTGGGAATACTTTAACAACGTGTAGTAACATAATTGCTGTAATCTCTGCAGGATCACTTCATGCACTGTTTGACATTTACAGTTCATTTTCCATACATTATCAGTTTTATTAATACTATCTTCTACGATCAAGCCTGTACTGCATATTTTTCTAGTTCTATGCAGTACTACATAGATTGGAAGAATTTTCTTTGAAAGCAATGCGTTTCTTTTTCTAGTCTGCTTGCCACTCAGAACATTTCCTCTCTCCTCTAGAGCTCCATTCCCCATGCACATGGCACACAACTGCTTCTAGAGAAGTTTACAGCTACATCAGTTTGACTGACTGAACTACGCATCTGGAATATCTGCTAAACACTTCTACCAAGAAGGTTAAATCTCAGCAGGGCCCACAGACAGGAACTGCATCTTGTTGTCTCAGGTTAATCATGTATCTAATTTGCTGATTATTGACTTATTCCCACAAAGGATTTTGCTAGGCTTGACATACCAGCACTGATCATGATGAACTGTCAAGTCAAGCTGTTCTCTGCTTTACAGTTCACGTCCCTAACTTGCAGAAACCAGGATTTCAAATTTCAATTCTAAAATATTGCCTGGTGTTAACTTCAGACTATTTTCATTAATACAAAACCATTCTGTTTCTTTCTGTCAGAACAGGTCATCCTTTTACCAAATCCAGTGTGTAACAGCTTGCTTTTCTTTTTCCTGGGAGCATTTTGGGTGGATTTTAATATAGCAATCTTCTGCTGTATTATTCCCACCGAAAAGCACCAAGAACTTGCACGAATATAGGATTTCATTATGCTGTTATGGAAGAAGGTTGGAACTGCTTCCACTACCTAAAGGCTGGAAATGAGGTTCTCTAAGGAGGATTCAAGCTAAGTTGGAAACACAGTTGGTATTTCTCATTATTTAATTTATCAGAAAGGTTATGAAATTTATATCCAGTGCTCAAAAGGTTTAACAAAGGAAAGAATGGAACTCTGCTTGATCCTAGCTTCTCAGAAAAGAACATTATAATGAGATCTGGAACAAATATAGCTGAACACAGTGCAAATGAAAATAATGTTCGGCTTGAAGTACAAACTGTATTTATTTTGTACTACCACTTATTTTTCTTCTAAGAGATAGAGGCATACCTCCACTATGTGATAGTTAGACAATTATAGTTAACTTGTAATTACATAAAATCTTGACAGTCATTTTGGAGCTTTGGTTGCCCTAAGCTAGTTTTACTTCATGATTTATACTTTTGTTTGTTTTCATCATCTAAATTGCTGGGTGATTTTCCATGGTGGCATGATATGGGAAGAGAGCACCAAAATTCTGCACTGATGAGACATGCTCAATGAATTATGTCATTGCCTCATGTGCAGCTTATGATCCATAGACATTATCTGGCCAGTGACAATGCATCGAAACACAAGTGCCAAAAAAATCAAAACATCCTCCAGAAAGGTCCCAGCCTTCGATCATATTCTCGGTGGATATCTTCTGTGATGGATGGATGTCTGAAAATGGCTGAAAATTGTTCAACACTGTATAAAAATCTTCCCAGTTTATCTGATCTTTGTACAGAACTTCAGGATGTTATATACTAGCCCTTGGCTGTATAGAAAACAAACCACTCGCCCTTCTCCTTCATTTTTGGTCTGCTGGTCTTCATTTCTTACCAGTCAGACATACCTGGATATCAGATTCATGCAAACACTTGGTAACTCGTAGAAGAATTCTTAACAGCATATGAGAAGTCGATGGAGTTTGAATAATTGTAAAGCTACTTGCTCACCAATTCTTAAAAGCAGAAGTCTTAAATCTATGTAAACCTTTTCTCTCAATTCTACCCAAATCAGCTTAAAAATTTTGGATTTCAATTCAGACTTCAGGCAAGAATAACAGCCAGGAAATAAGAGCCAATGCAGACTAGTTCCATAATAAGTAGATCCCAAATTCAGTTAACATAGGTGTAGTTTTCCTGATACTCCTTCTATCATGACTTTGTGCATGCACATGGACGCTGTTCTCTCAGGGCTGATACCTCCTTGCAAGCAATATGAAAACACTTTCTTTGTATGACAATGCAATTATGTTGAAGTCTCTGCACTTGGCTTAATTATTTATGTAACTGCAGTCTGCTTCGCCAAATGAAAACATACTATCAGTCCTTTGCAAACCTGGACAAGGCATCTACGAATGTTGAAAAGGCTTTTCCTCAAAGTTCTAAATTTGATCTTTGGAAATCATAAACTAAATCAAGCATTTAAGTGTAGCTGGTGATTTTTTTAATGAAGAACTGATTTTCAGCAGCAAGGATATGCATGAAGTAAAGGTTCCTTTCCAAAAGCTGGTTCCTATTTCTCCTTTCCTTGTTCTCTAAAAAGAATGGAGGCTCTTTCCTTTCAGTATGTGCAACTGCAAAATATTATTGCTCATTACAGTTCTAATCTAAATAAATGAGAATCTTTCTATTCACATTAATGTCTTTAAATGTATTTTTTCCTCTTTGCAAAACAAAGCATACCACTTTATTATTATAGCAAAAGAAATCTAAACACCACTGCACAGCCTAGAGGAAAAAGATACATAAATTTGGTCCTACTATAAGGCTATCTTTATCTACACCCTTAATTATGTACTACAAAGTCAATGCAAAAAAAGCGGTGGTGCAGAGTTTTCATCTTGCAGACAGTTAGAAATTAAGAACTGGGATTCCAAGCTGCAAGACCTGCCCAAAGTCTTAGTGAGATGTTAAGCCTAAATACTACCTTTGAGGAAAAATAGTAAAATTAAAGCTTTCCAGACATGGCCACCGTGTTCTGTCCTCTAATATGGTTGGGTAGCAGTGATGCCCAAACCTTTTGTGTGCTCAGCAATACTGTCAAAATCCTGTGGAGTCTGAAACTTCTACAAAGGCCTAAAATGATGTGTTATCAGATCTAGCTGTGCTGCATTCCAACTGCATATAGTGTTTTGATATTGTGAATCTGACCACCTTGACTTATCATTTTTGATGGGCGTGTAACTGGATAGGTTTACTGCAACTGATTCCATAGTTTCCTCAGAGATTTAAGACCTTTCATGCCAAACTGAAAGTAATTTTATAAACCTGACTAGCAAGAACATCATACTTGGTTATTTCATTCATCAAAATACTGTTAAGGTGTGTAATAACCTAGAAATCTTAATATCAGGGCAAATATCAAAAATTGAGTCATCCCCAAAATACCACACAGAATCCCTAAGCTTAAGCTCCAAAAGCTCAAACGTGAACCCAACAAATTCTCCCAACTTCTGAAGTTTCCTTTGTACAGCCAAGAAATACATGGATAAAGTACCTGTGCATGCGATGGTGGGAGTCCTCTTCTTATATAAACACCAAAAAGAGCATCCTTCCCCAGGGATATGTTGAACTTCAGGAACTGTGGCTGGCTGATATGGATCTGAGACCTCCAAAAAACTCCAGGGGGCACTTCTTGGGTGACCTTGCGGCCAACTTCTGTTTCCCCACTATCTATGCTGCTATTCCTAGTGACCCATGGTCCTATAAAATAAAAACAAATATAAATCAACTGTAAATCAAATGAGATAACTGCTTTTAATAAAGGCACTTTTAGCAGTGGCATTCAAGAATAACATCTGCAGCAATGCTGCTGTTTAAATCGAACTGCAACTTTCCTAATTTCATCCAATCTGTTGCTGGTTCAATAAAAAAAGGAAGAATTTGGTCCATATATGCTAAGAAAGAAGGCTTTGAACCTGTTTCTGTGGAGCATCTGCAATCTTCTAATTCCTCTGAGCCTTCAATTCTGTGACTGCTTAGAGACTCATTTAAGCACACTGCAATCTCCTTTTGCGCTTTTCAGCTGTCTTCTATGCAACCAGCATAGCAAATTTCAGAAAGGTGAACTGAAGGTGTAATTTCAATCTTAATGAACTGATTGCAAATTTTATTACTATTGCTTTATATAGCAAAGCAGTCCAATAAATCCCCGTTCACAGACAATAGAGTTGGTAGAAGAAATGAAATGCACAGAAGAGGATTTAGAGAACAGTTTCTGTACTGTAACACGTGTCTTCTTATTCTTTAAAGAAAGTTAGTGTAACTCAATTCACTGCCTTTTAATTCTCTGTCTGAAGCAGTGAGACTGTCTATCTATAGGTCTCTTTCTTCCCCACAGATAGTTGCAGGGTTAGCTAAAATCCATCTTTTGATGGTTCTTCAGCATGCATTATTGAAGCCAAGATACAAGGCCCTTCTGGTTGAGTGCTCTGGCTTCCAGCCCCTGAAACAGCCTTCAAAACTTGGTGTGAATCTCGTCTGCTTGGCAGCTGATCAGGATGGTTCTGAGGTTACACATTTTAAACACAGAGTGTGATAGGTGAAGAGTTAGCAGTGCTTTCGAGCTACAGCATACAACATTTCATTTTATGTCTTGTATCCTCAAGCAACCTGGCGATAAGTCCATATTTTAATTATTATAACAGATACCAAAAAGGCCAGAAAAAGACAAATTTCTGTTGCCATCACAGAAGTCTGAAGGGGTCATTAATACCTCTATTGATGCATACTGGATGGTACCAATACCTCAGGATTTGTTAAAAGCTCAGCTGTTTACTTCATGTTTTTGTCATGGTGAAACATCATTTTCCATATGTGGCAATTTACTGCAGAAATGTTTTCCAGCACTGTGTGAACGTAACAGGATGGCACAGAATAACATATAATTCCAGCAGGTAAGTACATAACAGCTTTTCTGCGCTGGCTATCCTTAATTGAGAGAGCTGCAACAGCACTGCTTCATTTCTGGTTCCAAATGATCTGTTAGCAGCGCTTACACTTGTACATAATGAAACAGATACATTGGCAGTGTCTTCAAGTGGTAAAAGAATGATTTGAACACCAACTGCTACCCAGTTCTTGGTAAATTTTCTTTTTTCATTTTCTGTGCTAATGGATCAATCAAACATGTATTTATCATTACAGCTCTTAAAGCAATGAAAGAGATGCAGAGACAGCCTGCAAAGAAAGGAGAATTAGTTGCTGACTAATTAGTTATTCCTGCCTCTTTCTAAGAACATGTGCAGTTGAAGAGAAGCCTTCAATGAAAAAGCTATTTATAGGTAGCATGTCAATAAGCATTACTGTTATGATAAAGGCTGCATAAGGAGTAAAGGTGAAAGGATCAATACACCAGCACCTCTTCCAATATTCTAAACCTGTTCACTCATCAATGAATAATATGAACTGTGTATTTTCAATTCAGTTGATTTCATGACTGAAACAAAGTCACTTCAGTCCATCAACTCCAGTGCAAATCTTTGACAGATGTAATCTACCAAGCCAGATGTAAAGCAGGTGTGAATCTGTAGCTCAACTCTGCCTCACCTTAACAGCCATTCCCTCCACCTCCCCTCCAGCCCCTGCAGTGGAATCTGCTTGTTGTTTCGGTTCTTTTGAAGCAATACTTTATTGATCCAACTCTAACATTCAATGGAAAGTGGTCCTGTACAGTCAGAGATACGGTTTGTGTCAGCAGCACAAATCCAGTGCTCCAAGCAGGTAAAACATTACATTTACCTCACCTCATAAACACTGTATATCTAATCAGAGCTACTAAGTCCTGAGCCAGCTACCAACACAGCACTACAGCTTATGACACAGAAATGAATCCTTGTTTGAACACTTTAAAATTGACATGGGGTTATAATGACCTTATGCTGTATCTGATTTGCATGTTTTGGTCAGCACACTTCAGCCTACATAATAAAGCAGGAGGCAATGCTTTTGGAGCAGTGCTTGTATATTCACTTGAGTTACTTTGCAAATAAGTTTACTTCCTATCATTAAAAGACAGATCTTCAATAGAGGCTCGAGTTTTCGTAGTTGTGGTTGAATTTAGCCTAAGCCTCCTTTGTATTTACAAATTCCGTTCTGTGTTTCTAACAGAGAAAGGCTATTTTCCAGGAGGATCTAACCTCGTAATACATCAACCAAGCTTAGAAGAGAATATTCTAGTCATCAAGAGAACCAGAGTTACATTCACACTACTTTGATACACACCTCACAGGTGATAATATATTGAATGTCAAACCTACAAAAAAAAATTTTAAATGGCAAAATGGCAATTTATTTTTCTCATGAAGATAATTAAGCTTTAGTGTAAAAATTGCTTAAAATGGCAGTTAAGACCAGCAAACTAATAAAGAATAATCAGCCTAAAAACATGACTCAGGCTCCTAAAACTACTGCAATTATTCAGTTTGGTTTGGCATTATTTTCAGAAGCACCTCCCCATAGATGTTATTTTCTTGCTCTACTACAAAGGTGACCTACTTTCCACTTGTCCAAACCATTCCCCTTCCACAATATTTCAGTGTTTCACGACTCCACTTAGCAATTCCTAAGGACTGTGACAGCTGGAGGAGTTCAACTCAGTAGAGAATTTTAAAAGTGAGTTACATGAGCATTTATCAAGTGACAGACACGTGATGAAGATACACTTAACCCCTCAAAAAACAAAAAAGAACAAAGAATGGAATGGATGAATGACTCTTTAGTTTCAAGTCTTCATTTTTGGAGTAATGCATATCTCTGCTCTGCATCCAGCCCATGCCATACGTATGTGAAATTTAGCTGCTGCCTTCTGTCTGGCATGGTGAAAGAGAGACCCTTATTTTTAATTTTAAGAATTTAATGCAAGAATTCCTGTTTTTATGGCTCTCGGTTATAATGCTGAAGTTGTAAGACTTACAAATGTTTGGAGTCATGTCAAAATATTTTCAACTAATTTGTAGGGAAGGTTTAAGTCCAGCAAGCAAGCATAGCTCTAGTGAGAATGCATTATTGAATGTATTTTCATAAATTCCTGCTGAATTGTTCTCCCATTGTTACAAAACACAAAAAGGACATAAACATTTTGGCAGGACTTCTTGCTTTGTCACAGCCAGTGCACTGAGCTGGTCATCATTATGACACTCTAAGATCAATACTTGTAAAGCAAATATTAATCATCATCTATTAAAAACTCCCTTTCAACAATAATTCGGTCACATAAAAAACAGCATAGGAAGGCTCTCGCCATTGGCTGCATCATGTTCCTTACACCTCAAATTAGAAATAAAGGAAGGAAACGCAAAGTACACATGGCCACTGAACCAGATCTTAGCCAACTGACTTCAGTTCATTTCTTTAAAACTCCAGAAGCAGAACACCGTCATCCTAGCTTTACATTTACAGCAGCTTTGCGGCGCTAACAGCTTCACTTAAAAACTTTGTCTCTAGAGACTCTTAAAGTAAACCTCTTTTATAGCTTCCTTCAGTCTTCACCTCCTAATGCAGAGCATGCATCTTTCCACCTGATTCACTCCCTCCAGCTATTTTTAGAAGCTTTTCCATTTTGATGGACCACTGCAGATCAAGTTCAAAGAACATAAACTGCAGTTAAGTGAAGTTACAGATGTGACAGACTGACAAATTTGAGAAGAAAGACCAAACCAAACAACTCACATTATCATGAGCAAATAAACCCCCAAATCATTCTCTCTGCTGTGGGTGGCTGTCTTAGAGTTTTGTTTATTCCGTAAGTCTATGGATACTTGATTTTTTCCCCTGTGATTTCCTCCCTATAAACATCAGCAAAAAGAGAGTTTTAAAAGCGTACTTCTTCTCCTTACCCAGGGGAGTCATTTCAATCTCTCAGTCAAACATATATTTATCAACTAAATAACACTTATTCATTTAAACTGCTGTGTTATTTACCCAGTCGAATTACTATTTTGGCATATACATCTGAAAAGACTGTTTTAGAGCTCCAGTATGTTTGCCTTTGAAGCTATCAGACAGGCGATACACGACAACAGCAAGGCAAACTCCCCCACTTGTCAGTTGGCCTCATCTTTGAGCTGGAGGTCAGCCTCAAGGTGGCAGCTGATACGACATGCCCATCCAGCCTTTAATTTAAATTACGTCAAGCAGTGTCAGTGATGCAGCAGAACTGCACCTACGCTGAGACGAGAAAATTTGGGGTTTATAGGCTGCTCTGCCACATCAGGGTCAAAATTTAAAACAGTCAAAATTAAATCTGGCTACTGCCAGCGTCCTGCTACAGACATCACGTTTAAATAGCAATTACTTCAGTCCTTTGATTGTGTGCCTTTGTAACAGAGATGGCTGCAAAATGTGTCTTGAAAATATGTTTGAAAAATATCTGGCAAAATAACCATTCCAACACATCCATAAAAAACTGCCAGAACAATCTGGATAATCTCAAATTAATTACAAGGAACAAATATCACCACGATGGTTAAAGAGCTTTCTCCTTCGCTGCTCTCCCGGTACCTCTCCACTTCAGATAAAGCTTTCCTTATCTTTAAATCTAACTCATCTTTCTGCTTTTGTATCACTAGAGATTTTTACAGTTGACTCAGAATTCCAATGAGCTGTATGGTATCACTGTGTAATCACTCAATAAAGAAAATAAATATATGTAAGCATTCAAAAAAGTATTCCGCTGATTTTCTGCTAAAAAAAAAAAAAAAAGAACAAATGATGATAATTAACAACTTTTTAATGATGGACATTTTTCTCCACGTAAGTTAGTTATTCATATGACCAGGCATTTCTTATTAATTCAGAATTGAAAAAATAAATCAATCAGTATTATGCATTACTATCTCACTTATTAATTCTCCTGTGAACTTACACTCCAAAATTACCTACTGCTAATACCTAGGACCCAAGTGAAAAACAGGTAAAACAGATTGACCGCTGGTGCAAAACAAATTCCCAGAACTACAATAATGTAAGAGGCCAGGAAATGAGGGTTTGTCTGCAGAAGCTGCTATGACACTTCTTGAACTTCGGTTACGCTGAAGATGCTGAGGTAATAACGAGCTCTATTTAGTGAAGAGGAAGGAAGCTCCTGAATTTGTATGAGCTTCCAGGAGTCCAGCAAAACAGCATCTGAAACAAAATCAGCACCGGGACTGTTGGCCAGGATTGCATATTTCTATTGTGCTGAAAGAAATTCTGCAAAGGAACCATCTGCTTAAGACCACTGCTCTGCCTCAGCTGCAGCCAAGCAATCTGGCCCTGCGGGTGGAATTAAGAAACGTCTCTCTGCTACTCTGATACATCCAGAAATGTAGGCGCATTTTCACATTCCCATGGGCACAGCTTCGCAAGATTTGTTGTTTTCAGAATCAAAAGCAAATTATAACTGAAATGAAATGAAGAGCTGTTAGTTCCCAGCGTTAAGCAAAGAACACATTGGCATGTATTCCTGCATCACTGCAACAGTCATCTCTGATGGTGTATAATACAGCTCACCAAGCAACTCTGAACATAGCAACTCATACCATCATCATCAACACGATCACAGCAAGTAGAAAGAATTCCTCTTCTGCTCTGCTGAACTTAGTCATACACTTTGCTTATGCTCTGGCAGCCTTGGAGACTGGTGTATTTTCAGAAGACCACATCTGCCACCCTTCATAGGGTCCACATTATTATTCCTGCTCACTAACAAGTTAATTAAGTTCTAAGTTACATTAGCCACGTAAGTATTTGGTAAGATTAATCCACCTGGAAAATGACAGCATGTCTTAATTAAACTGAATGAAGATAACGGAAGTGACATTTAAAATACATTGACTGTTATTACGTTTTGATCATCTGTTCAAAGCGTCTAAAAGGAAACAGTTGGAACCCAAAGATGCATGCAGTTTACATTGCTAATGAGCTTTGAAGTCTGTTTTGTTTTGTTTTCTTAAATCTTCTAATTTTCTGCAACATGACAATGAAGTCCCTCCACGTGGCCCCCAGTCCTGATACTTTCTGATGACTGTGCCATTTTCAGAGTCATTGTTCCCAGCACTCAGGTCAGGGACCAACTTATTTCACTTGAATCCCCAGCAATATGTAAATGTAGAGTATTTATAATTTCTTTAATGCTGCTTGTTTGCTGCTCTGATAATAAAATATTTTAAATGTTGAAAAAACACTGCTGTATGCAAACCTTTCAACTCTTTCTCATCATAACATGGAGAGAGATGAAGACAAGCTACACAGCTTCACAATGACTGCAGACTTCAGTTTTCCATACCAATGCAAAGCAAATTTCTGCTAAATTAGTAGAATTCCGTTTTTTGTCTCATTAGATCTGACAGGTTTTAAGCATCCATCTCAAGGACGTAAGTTCAGAGCAGAGGACAATGTAAAATTTAACAGAAGACTTACATTTATTCATTTTGTTGTTGCCACTGTATGCACTGAACCTGATAACTGGAAGTAAGTATTCTTCATTGGTGGTAACACTATTTTTGAAACCCACATGCCTTGGTGGACTTACTAAAGTACCTCACTAACTGAGATGAACCTGGATGAAGCTGGTTGGTTCAAAAACACCCAAACCCAGGAATATCTGACTATCAGAACTTACATGCAAATCTGCTTTTTCCAATTAGTGAACAGATATATAGTAACCAAACTGATCTTTCCTTGCCTATAATTGCCTTTGGTATCTTTTAAAATGCTCATTTCTAGGGTCCATCTTGTACTTTGTTTTTCAGCTGTATGGAACCTTAACTTAGCAAATCATAAAGTATAAAAACAATAAAGAAATTCTTGATTTTTGGTTTTAAGTTATATAAAATCTGATGAATTTGTGAGAACACCAAAGACAATATATCAAATGACAGAAAAAAAATCTCTAAAGTATACTGCAGTTGGGATTGCAGCTGGAGCTACTTCGGATAATTCCACATGAATTACACTTATCTTAGGTGCACTCTGAAATGATTAAAGTTGACTTTTATAGTACATTCTGTCAATTAGAAAGGAAACTGCACATACTGTCAGGAAATGTGTCCAGCCTGCTATATAATTTTAAATTTGGAATATACTCATAGCACAGACTAACAGAATCCAGGCAAATGAAAGCACTGTAAGGTCACTTAGTTCACCTGTTGGTGAAGAAATGATTATTCCCAAACACTCTTTTTTTCCTTTTTTCCTCTTCTAGATTGATTACACCAAAATTCTAACATTATCCTTCTGTAATAGTAACAGACCAACAGGCTTCACTCTCAGATTTTTTTTCATAACATCTATCCCATTCCTGTAGCAATTCCATGACTCCAAGGCAGCCCCAACTTCTGTTTTTTAATGCACTATGAAGGACTACTGCCTTACCACTTGTTAGGAAGCTAAAATCTCCTCAATTTGACGATTAATCTAAATCTGGAGTTCAGCACAGGTATGAGAGCCTAAAGGCAAAGGAAGTCATCCGGGGCTGCCCTGCAGCCAGAGCATGGTGGACTTCCCCTGTGGTTTTACAGCAGCACTGAGGACTTTTCTGCCCATTGCATTTGCTTGTTCCTTTCAGACAACCCCAGCACCAGCGATACATAGTGTGCAATTACAAAAAATGTCCAATTGTGTTTTCTTAATAGTGAATTTTGTTTTCATTCTGATAAGAAAATGTGGTAATAATGTAATTCAAGTTTCCCTTAAATTGCATTTTTATTATGTCTTACCTAAATTCAGTCTCTTAATAAGGAACAAGCAGATCAAATTGAAGTATCTGCCTCTTTTTCCCCGTCTGAATTGCTCTTCTTTAAAATGCCTTACTTGCTGAGTAGGCACAGCTTGTGTTTAAGTGGCTGTTTTCAGACTAGGGGTTAAAGGTTTCTTTGGGAGAGCCATGTTTTGAAAAGAATGGCTTCATCCTGAGCTGTGTCAATTATAAAAAGGTCACTCTCCACAGCCAGAGTCCTGAAAATGGTTGTTGTGTTAAAAGCTGTCAGAGGCTTTCCTAAAAACTGCTGGGGTAGCAATATTAACTTGAACATAATAGAATGAATGGTGAGGTAGAAAAACTTTTCACTCTTCCCTGCTGCAAGAATGTCTGTTTCAGATATTCCTTGTGCTCACCCAAGCCTGTCATTCCCATTACTCCTCTGTGGAAGATGACTTACCTAAACATTTTCTCCTTCCTCCTACAAAATTATCAACATTTCAGGAACCTTCTACAAAATGTCAGAAGAAAACTTTTCCAACACACTCTGAAGAAGTCCAACTGCAGCAATTTAAAGACATAACTAGCAGCGCTGCCTCCTGTCTCCTCCACAGGAGGCTACCAATCCCCAACAGCCGGCATCTCTGCCTCTTGAAATGTGCAATGCTAATTAGAGTAGGGTTGGGATGCACTGCCAGAATTTGCACTGCAGTGCCCCAGGCAGATGAGAACATTCAAATTCAACAATTCTGCTGCCCTACATTTGCACAGAGATGGCAACAAAAAGCTGCAGGGGAGGGAATTTGGAAATGTGTTAAACACTGCAGTTGTCTGCTAAGTGACCATAATTGAGGTCCTAGGCTCTCCAGGTTCCTGCCTCAAACCATAGGGTCTCTCACCTGTGTGCAATCTGGAAAGAGTTCAGCAGTAATACAAACATTCTGCCAGGTACTTAGGGATGTGCTGTTCATCCACTGCGTGGCCTACAGTAGGAGATGGAAGCCAAGCCAACAAGCTGCTGTCTGAAAACCTACAGTTGTCTTGCCACAACAAGGACGCTGCATCCAACAAAAGGAGGAAGCCAAAGCTGCTGCCTCCACAAGAAAACATAAAGAAGCAGAGGTGCAGCAAAACTTCAATTTGTAAACGGCTCGGCATGCCGAAGAACTGAACTCAGCTTTGCTCCCAACACCACTTTGGCTGAGATTTGTCCATCCATCCCATGCACATGCCCTGCGTTAACACTTGCTAGCTTAAGGCTTGTTTCGGGGAGCAGCAGGCATGGCGTGGGCTGTGGGTACTGAACAAAGCGATGCTCAGCTCCAAACAAAGCTGTGCTGCAGATCAGCATGGAGCGCTCTCACCCTGCTGCACACCACTCCATGGCACCTGGAGCTGGAAGGCCACGTTCTGCCTTACTGCTGCTCTTCTGGTAGAAGCCAGGGAAAGCCGCAGTGCTACATAGCAAACACCTGAACCTCATCATCATTAGAAAGCATTCAATTTAAAAGTTTAAAAGCCTCTTTGCGATAACGTAATTTCTCTCTTTTTTTTTAACGTATGCCTTCATAGACTAAGAAAGCGTTTCTGGTTCCAGACATTTCCTCCTCGCTGCCCTCGCTCTTCATTCTCTACGGCACGCGGTTTTCCTTCAAGCAAAGGAATAACAGCAACGTGCGGCGCGCCACGCGCCGCAGCAGCACGGGCCGGGGCTCGCCAAGCGCTGCACGGCCGGGGCGCGCGCCCGCAGGCCGAGGCCCCGCAGCTCACCTCTGCCTGCAGGTGGCGCCGCCGCTCCGTCCTCCGCGCCCGCCGCGCCCGGCCGCAGCCCGTTGCTGAAGGTGTGTCCGTCCGCGGGCTGCAGCTGCCAGTTCAGCCCCAGGAGGTGCATCGCTGCCGGAGACACAAAGCGGAGCAGTGAGGCCGCTGCACGCGGACGGGGAGAAGGGGGGAAGGGGGGAGGAGATACAGCTGATTTCAATTAAACGGCTTTTTGGGAAACGCTACGGCAGCTCGTCCCGGAGGAACGGCAGTGTGCTAAAAAGCAAAACAACACAACGGGCAACAACAACAAAAATCGAAACACAAAGAAAAACCCGATGACTCCCATCAATCTGTTCCGTTCATTTCTTTATCGGCTAGCGGATCAGTTCAAACCCTGGCAGGCGCTGGGACAGCACAGCGCCGCAGGCGGAGCCGCTCTCGGAGATTCGGTGCTGCCCCACGTTTCTATCGTGTGTGATAATGTCTTCACTGATGGTAAAATTACCTATAGCTGCGCGTATAATAGCGTGCAGTTATTTCACGTTTATTACAACGTATCGACACGTTTACTAGTTTCTGTCTTAATTTTGCGGGTTACGCTTCACCGACAAACCCGGCTCTGCCAAACCTCCAACCGAGCGCGAGGAGCTCCGCTGCCTGCGCCGCGCCCAGCATCGCGGGCATCGCGGCCCCGCACCGCACCCGGCCCCGCACGAACAGCGGAAGCCGCGCGGCAACGGCCGGCGCTGAGGATTCTGGAGTGGGAGAAGGGCTGCTGCAGTGCCTTCACAACAGCGTGAGCTATAGGCACAGTGGCAGGGGCTAATTGAATAACTCCTGTGCATAATGCATGAGACTTGACAGGTCTGAATCACTCAGCTGTGGATTTATGTGCATCTTCGCTTTGTATAAACAGAAGCTACCTGAATACATCTCCATACTTCCATCATATTATCCCTGTGACATCCTCCCAATGCAGAGTAGAGGTGGTGGACTGAAAAGGCCACTGTGCAGTTTCTGTTCACTTTTGTGTGCTTCATCCTGCTCGCTCGCTCACTTCCCCCACCCAGAACTCAGTTTTTTGAGTTATGTGCTACAGTGGTGTTTGAGGGGATGCGCTGTCAGCTGGCAGAGAACACTGGCATTACAATGATGGGCACCATCAGTGTTCCCTCCTGCAGCGTCAGACCCACGTGAGGTAACGTGCCACGTGCCAGTGCTGTGGTGCGGACAGGAGTGGCAACTGCCAACTGCTGCTGCTTCAAGTGTCAGGGCAAAGCAGTTCCTGCAGAGCTGTGGTTTGTAGCTCTTGAGACACCATCGGACACATCGCCTCGGAACACACGGATCCATGGGAATGGGACTGATCCATACATGTATTCTTACAAATGAAGAAAAATAGCCTGAAATGATGCTTAGCTGAGCAACAAGTCCTGGAAAGTTAACGAAAAAGCTGTATCGGATGAAATGTTTTATTCAACTACAACTTTTTTCGCTTTGCCAAAACAAACGTTTTTAAAGAGCTTATCAGCCTAATCTCAAGCAAATGATTTTCTTTTACGCACGGCAAAGCTCGCATAACAGGCAGATTGCTGCCTGGCCCCGCTGAGGGCAGACACTGCATGGCAGCACAGGGCTGGGCCCTAGCCTGCTGCCACCAGGCGTCCTGCTGCCCCTCTATCCTAAGCAAAGGGCATTGCGGATTCCCAGAATGAAAACTAGTGCTAGGAGAATTAGACTTTGGTGTTTTATCCTCTATTCAAAGTTGCAATTATTTCTTTATTGCAGGTTTAACCATAAATGTAGGTCATGTGAGGAGGTGAAATTCTGTTGCTTCAAGTATGAACCACTCTTTACAACAAAGAGATAAAGAAATCATAACTAATAGCCTGTCCAAGAGAATTATAGTTGCTAACTCATAATTACCAGGTAGATTTATACAACGAATTAAAAAAGATATTAAGGAAAACCTTGATCCATCTGCTTCCAAGTTTGCCATGATTTCATTAGTGACTGCACCGCTCAGTGTTTTAATCACAAACACACGAGGTAGGTGCAATTACAGCTCCTTCTTAATGGGGCAGGGGTTCGCGCATCTGCTGCAGCTCCCTGCAGAGCCAAAGATGAGGATCTCCTGCACAGCTCATGTAGCCATTGCTCGATCCCCATCCTTCCAGTAAGAGAAGCGGAATCATAAATGTGAGGAGCGTTCATCTTCCACCAAGAGCACAGTGTGAAAAGTATGTCATGGGGGCCTGCAGGGAGAGCTCTGTGTTTGTACTGCGCATAGCAAGCCTGAATAGCAGCTAAGCAGTGAGAACAAGGAGATACCTATTCCCTCCTGCTTCAGCATGACACGAGATGGGGAATTTATATGATTAACCTTTTGTTCTGTTAATAAAAAAAAAAAAAAAAAGCCTCCAGCAAAGCAATAAGCAGAAGCCCATTAAATAAGAAATACTGGGATCCACTCAGAAGTTGAGTGTGTGCGTATCAGACAAAAAATTTGGCCTTGAGAATTTTTGTCCCTTCTCTGCTTATTTCTGTTGTTGGTTTTTCTATGTGTCTGCTGTTTCAAACAGCTGAACAACCTGTGATGCCATGACTGCCTCCTTTCCCACACTCTGGTCGGGTTCTGACCACGCTTTCTCTCTCCTGTGGCTATCTGTCCAGCAGCCAGCTGAGCTGGGACACGCAGCCAGACCCATATGCTGAGACAGACTGGAGACCTGGCACTGGGGGCTGCCTGGTGCCCATAGCCATGGCCTCACGGACACCAAGGGGAGGGAGCACTGCTCTTCCACACCAGCCCACTTACTCAGACACAGTTCCTGAGCTCCACATATGGTTTACAGATTAACCCTTCAGAAAAAGTGCCATTTCATATTATGCATATGATACATTTATAAATTATAGTTCTGTATGTTTTATAGGTATTTAATTGTGTTTGTTTGCTTTCCTCCTCAGCATTTAAGCACATTCTCCACGTTCTGGCTTTGAATTTCAAACATTGAGCTTGTCACAGTTTATCTGGCTCATTTAACACTAACATAAGCAACTGAGGAGACTGAATTGTACATTTATATTCTCTAACAATGAGACTACAGCAACACATGAAATGAAACCATTGAAATTTAGGTAAAAAAAAACAAAATGCACCAAAAAAAAACAAACACAAAAAACCAACCATACCACAATGAGACATGCACACACGGTGAAAACACATAAAACTGGAAGCTAAAGCTGTACGTCCATCAAGAACAAAAGCAAAGAGCTAGTTTAGCACTAAAGGTGGTACAGCTGTCAAGTATCAATCTAACTTGCATATGGTAGAGGTTACCAGAATGAATCACACCTTATTTTAAGAAACCCCCAAAGGCATGCAGGTCCCCAGACAAAGGAGAAAATTGGCATACAAAACTTTCTTGAATGTTCTCTAAGACTCTTCTTTAGTTCAATCCCACTTTGTGGCCATAGCCCCAGTTTTCACACCAGTCAGAGCTCAGTCTAATGGACAACATTTTCCAAGCTAGGAAAGCTCTCTGTCCTCCCTTGGCACACACTTTTCTAAAATGGGAGACCTTTGGTCTTTTCATTCACTGAAGCACTATAACTGAGAGCCTGCCAACACGACAGAATCAATTTTTGCACTTAGACCTTCCCTCTACGGCACTCCTTAAAAGGAGGAATACACAGATGAACGATCATCACGTTTCCCACTCCTAGTGCATCTTCCCAGTTAAGGACTGGGAGATACACATCACTGCTTTATCAGGAAATTCAGTATTCCTGGAGCAACTCAGAAAGTTGGGAAGATTATAAATGTGTCCAGAATAATGAGTGTTTCTAAATACTAACTTTCCAAGTTGCCATGCATACTAAACCACTGCAAAGCACTTCCCCTTATGTACTTTACCCCATGAACCTCCCAAACTATGATCTCACTTCGTCAGGATGTATCTAAACACAGTATTCTATTAATTTCAGCAGCTTCATCTTTTTTCATGTGAAAAATAAAGTGGTCTGCATCAAAAATATTAGAAAACAGACACATTTGCTTTTTGCAGGCTAGTCTATCATAGGGCAGTGGACACTCTAGAAAGAATTTCCTTTCTGATCAGTTATGAAATGAACTTGTTATTCTGGTATAATCAATTTTGAGTGACAAAAGTATGATTTCCAAATCAGGCCTAATGAATCATGGACAAGATGAAACCAAAGGTTCCTAATAAATCTTAGCAACATGTAATTCTATAGCGCGTATGTTTAAAAAATTTCTGCATGTGCATTTTTTATTATGTTATGATGCATTAAAACACTATACTGACTATATAAATTAAAAGTGGATGTGCAGATAGATTTTTGTATAAATATAATAGATAATTAAAACAACATACCGCCCATATAGTTGTATGAGGTGAAAAAACAGCATTTGATTCCTCTGTGAACATAAAGATGGATGACCTGAATGACTTGGCAAGAATAAATGTATCCCAAGAAATAAAAAAAAAAATAAAAATTAAACCATGATCCCTTGTGATCATGTGCCCCTATTACAGTGGGAATTATGATACAACGCAGTTAGGAGCCTCTCCTGCAGAGGCGTCCTGCACAGGAATGGCAGGAGTCTGAAGGAACTGCCCATGAAAAACTTTCACAATGCCTGGGTACACTGTGCTTGGCTCTAACTGATGCTCTCTAGCTGGGGAGCAGGAATTATTGGGTGGGTGTAATGACAAAGGTAAGGAGCCTTCCCTAGCTCTTGACAATTCATGTTAACACACACACACACACAACCAGATCTTGCTAAATTAAGTTTCAATTGAGAGCCATATTTTGGTAGCATCTTCTAATTATTAGAAATTGAACATGTGGAACAGCTAGCCTTCATCAGATGTGCAATTCTGCAAGTGTTCATGTATGCAGTATGTCTGCATTGCAGACAGTAAAAGTCTTTTCCCACAAAGGGATTTGACAACATGTGCCTGAAAAATTCTTCAATAAGTCTTGGCTGTTTTGCAGAGGCTTTTTTTTTTTTTTTTTTTACCTTTCCCCAGGTAATTTTGTTGGCCAGTCTTTGTCTGCATGTGCAGCAGAGGAATACAAGCACTGTCAGTATGCAGCTACAA